CTCAGCACATTACCCAGCGACCAAGTCTTGTAATCAGGCCATCTTGCACAGTTTGCGTCCTGGTAAATTGTGCGATAAGCTGCCAGTGCGATGCCTGAGCCAGAGTTGTCTTGGTGCTAGGGCGGCTGCGTGCACCGCGACTCTGCAGCGTGCGAGCCCTCTTACCGCCGAAAGCTTGGTGGCTTCAAGCCCCAGCCCCACCAAACGCTGTTACGCCAGAACAGACCTTCATCCACCAGCGCTGCATGATCAAAGCCCGTGGAACTATGGAAACACATTCATGAGTTCAATTCCGGCTACAGGAATAATGAAGAACCACGCCCTGACCTTCGTGCTGTCGCAGGGCAGGTACGATAACAGACATCCCTCCCACAGCATTCATGATGCACACCGAAAGTGGCATGTTGGCAAAGGTTTTGAGCGCTCGAAATAGATCGACGACTCGCAGCGGGCCGCCGGACTGGCCACTTGTCACATGCATATGCTACCCCGACGCAGGGCAGGCACATACCGTCTACCAATCATCGCCAGATGCAGGCATTCTCACATCTCAAGCTAGTGCGGCGGGGAGTGTAGCGAGTGAACAGCGTTGGCGCTTACAGCAACCAGCAGCCAACCACCCAAAATATAACCGCCGCTCATCAATTCTGAGTAGCGCCGAGCCTTACACACATCTTGATTGGGCCCATCTGACCACCACCTGGCTGAGAAGAGGGTTTTCCTGCATGGGAAGTCGTCTTTGTACCGCTATTGCCCTGGCTGCATGCCACGGCTCTTCCGATGGCTCGGAGTGCCTCGCAGAATGCTCGTCTTATAGTCGTTATCCCCAGATTACCCGAGACGTCGTACTCCCGGTGTTGCTGTTCTCAGTCTTTGTTCTCTTCTCTACACAGCCGGTATCTGTTGTTTGGTCCCGCCAGTTATTTCGGGGTACCATTTATCAAAAGAGTAGGATAGCAAGCACTCATTATGGCTGGACCAGCATTCCAATTATTTCCTCCTCCTCGTGCTCCAAGACAGACGAGTCCCAGTCCGCGACCATCTCCTCACCCAAAGCCAGCCAGTCAAGAACCATTAGCAACAGAGAGTGCCGTAAGCGCCAAAACACCTGTTGATCTCCACGGACTTCTCATCCAAGTCAACTCTGTGCCAGTATCACCTTCCAACCCAATGGCGCCCCCGCCGGCCATCGCGGCCCCGCCAAGAGCACATATCCCCAGTCCACAGGCTACGACAACGCCAATGTCAAATACAACGAGTCGGCCATACTTTGAACCACCGCCTCAGCAAACTGCGTCCCCACAACTTGGACGGCAAGAAAGCTTTTACCGTGTACAAGAACGTCATGGCCATGATCAAATCGACGACCAGCAACGCACCGCCAGCCCAGATCCTGCTCGCGCGATTTCACCAGCTTTCTCCGAGGCTCAGACTCTGGTCCGAGCAAATAGCTCTGCTACAAGATGCATGTCACCGCAAGAAGAGATTCCGATGCGGTCAATGTTCCCAGTTTATGATCCCACAGTCCCTCTTGGACGTCAACCATATCAGCCAACCCAAGCGTCGCCCACACAGATACCTCGAACCCAGATCAGTCGTTCAACCTACTCTTCCGAGTCGTATATTCCTCACAACAACGTTCGCTCGAGCGGCTCGACAGCTCCTCCACCACCAAAGCCCTTCTTCACGCCATCCAACCTTCTTGACAATCTCTGGCTAGCCACTAATGGACAAGAACAGCCCAGTGTGCAGATGTATACCCTGCGAATGCATCGAGCAACAGCCTCAAACCCGACGGTCACCTTTGGTACAACGCCATCGTTACCATTCTACTCTGTAGCACAGTCAAACCTTGCAGGTAACCACGAAGTACCCAGCATCATGAACGAGCTGCTCATTCAACGACATCACCCCACCCAGCCGCGAGTCTTACCTATTGCTCATCTCGATCTTATCGCGCCTCCGTCACTAGACAATGGAGCGTTTAGCCCACAACAGCAAGAGGATACCACCCTTCTTACTAGCATATACCCAAAGCTGGCCGCTCTTCAGGCGCTTGATGCTGCTGCTAACTCTCCTGCTGCCTCGCGTATTGCGCTTTCAGACCCGGGCGCTCAGTCGCCCGCCGCACAGCGTCTGGCTGAAGATGTTCTAGCTGGTACTGCGCAACGTGAGTGCTGCGCTCTTGCCTGGACGAGGGACAACCCTCAACAACAAGCAAATCCTTGGGCGCAACATATGCCATCGGAGGGTTCATATCAGCTCCATCATCCAACATTGGGCACCTTCCCCATCTCCCTGGAAGGTGACTGTTCTGTCATCAATGCTCCTTCGACGAGACCCATCACGGCGTTTTACGGGCATAACATGCCCATGACACCACAAAGTACCGGACGCAAGCCAGCCTGCATCACTGTGCTAAACCCATACGTTCTCTCTCCAACGACCCCCCGGACAAACGCGTTCTCTCCGCTACCACCACCTCCGCGATTCGATGGCACGAGACCAGTATCTATGACACCTTCTGAGATGTCTGTTGGCCAACTTCCTACGACCACCGACGCTACTGCCGATGATGCCATGCTCGCACGTCTTGACTTCGCAAACGACGCTCTCATTCTCAACCTTGGTGCCCTGACACGTTTTGGCAATCCCTTCTTGGTTGATGTTCTTACATCAACGCTTCTGGCAGTCGCAGTAGCGGAAGCTACACGTGGCCGCAAAACACGCAATCGAAGCCAAGAAAACTTCGAGCCACCACCACCAAGCTTCACCCTGAACCACCAGAAGGAAGACACAGCAAAAGCCTTCAAAGACTCTTTTGTCGAGGGCTTCCAGGGCATCGGCGGGAAGTCGCGACCGCCACTCTCGGGTAAAGGACTGAAGAAGTTTGCTTCTAGCCTGAAGAGTACAACAACTCGTAGCGATAGTGCGATGGGAAGTTTCGACAAGGACATTGAGTTGGGCGAGTGGTACGGACAAGACAAGCACACGAAAGCGAAAGCCACAAAATCGGAGAAGAAGGCGAAGAAAGCGAATGCTGATGACGAAAGCAAACTACCGCTGGTCGCACGTACAGTCATAACTGTGTTGACGTTTGCGTTCAAGGCCGTGGTGTTCATACTGAAGATTGCGTTCAAGATTGTTGCGGGTGTCGTCGTCATGATCACGCGGAATTTCAGCAAATTATAGGCGTCGGCAAAAGGGCGGGCTGTTTCTTACGACTGATGGCTTTGGGATCTTTTTCTTACTGCATGATACCATTCTTACTACATTCGCTGGATACCACTTAGACCGCGCTGCACGCGTGGCGCATAGTAAATTAATTTCATACGCACGATTATCACGTAACGTCAATTGCTTGAGCTGGTCATCGAAAATCAAATGCGAAGTTGTGATCTGTTGACTATGGGTTTGATGGTGGTTCTGACATGTGGACCAAAGCCTGGTTGGACGAACTTAAGAAGAAACCAAGTCCAGAGCCAGCATCGTATCTACCAGCGCAGTTAGGCAGCACCGATCATCATGTACTCCTCGCTCTCCGCCTCGTCCATGAGATCGTCCAGGATGTTGTCAGCATTCCGGTGTATATAGCTCATGGGACCTTCACCACCCTTCAAGTGCAATACGCTTCCGGGCAACAGGTCTCTGGCCTTGTGAGCCATGGCGACGGGACAGTTCTGGTCGTCCTGACCATGCCACAAGGTAAGCGGTACTCCATTCTCTCCGACGTATAGATGTCCAAGCTCAAAGCCCCAGTCGCTGCCGCTCAATTTGGCTTCCCAGCTTGCGCCTTCACTTCCCTGGTGGAACGATTCTCTGGTCATGGCTACATAGATGGGCCAGTTGGTGGTATCGTGGATAGCTTCTTGGTCGGCGGGGTGACGGCTCCGGATTTCCTTGGCAATAATATCCTCGAGGACTTTCGGGTCGTCATCGCGACTTGGCTTACCGATGGTGCTCTCGAACAGCGTGGTGGTCAGCCCGTTGACCCACGGCGCTGCCCAGAGGACGATGCGCGAAGGTAGCAACATGCCAGCTGTACCGAACTTAACCGGGTATAGGCCGCTGACGATACTGGCTCCTAGTAGACGGTCCCTCGACACCTCCTTGACACAAGCCAGTGCATAGGGCGCGCCTCCCGATACGCCCAGTACGTAGAAGTTGTGGATCTTGAGGTGGTCTGCCAGGGCGAGCACGTCGGTAGGCCAGTCGAGGATGCGACGATTGATCTGGAAGGTCGACTGGCCGCTGCCAGGACGGTCGGGCGCGATGATGCGGACGTTGTGTAGGGCGCAGGCCGAGTGCCATAGCTTGCCTTCGTAGCGCGACGATTGGCAGCCATGCATGAAGACTATCGTCTTCTGTGGCATCGGGCTGCCGTAGATGGCGTAGGAGAGGGTGCGGCCATCTTTGAGCTTGATGCGCTCATTCTCCTGCTGCATCGTATGCGTTGGGCTTCGTGTTTGGTCGCGAGGGTTGCTGAGTTGTTCGTTGCAACTTCTACGGGGGATGGAGGGGCGCGCAAGGCCACATTGCCTTCGCCGCCTGGGGTAAGCGCGACCGGCAGCGCATGGTGAAGGTTGTTTGCCTTGAGGGATATACCAGCAGATCGACGATACGGGTGAGTTGTGCAGAGCGGGGGATACCACGGGGTGAGCTTTGTTTAGGCCTCGCTAAGCTGCACTACGGCTGTGACGGGCAAGGCCTCCGAACATCTCGCCTACTAGTCCTGACTTCACATGCGTCTCCAAACATATTACACCAACATCGTTTAGATCAGCGACTCTAACTACTGCGTGGACGTGCAATCGCATCAAGGATGGTGTCCGGGTCACCTGCACCCTCGCAGCCGGATAGCCGCGCCTTTGCTTACATCCCCACTCACGCCACGCAGACGAAAACGAGTCAAGAAAGAAGCATTACAAGGCCACCAAGAACTCCACCCAACAATCCAAATACTTAATGCATCCAAGTTCCCTGAAGCGCCAATGCTGCTACTACTTCCTCCTCATGTAGAGCGGGCGAAGCAAAGCCTTGACAAAGCCGTCCTCCTTAGCCAGATCCAGAGGGAAGATGCGGCTCTTCAGCGTATATGCACGGAAGAGCTTGTAGTTCTTGAAGACAATGACATCGTAGCGCTCGGGGTTGTCTAGGTGGTCCAGGATGTTGAAGATGTTGACATAGACGCGTGAAAGAGCCTACGAGGATACGTCAGCAGAGCTATGCGACTGTGGAAAAAGAAGCGTAACCTTTTTGCACTGTGTTATAGAAGGCGGTACAGGTTCGATCTTGACATCACGACACAGCTTCTGCCAATTTTCCAGCTTTGACTTGTCAGGGCCGTAGTGTCGAGACACCTCGAACTCAACGACCTCCGCGCGACGACGCTTCGCCTCGCTCTTGGACCAACCTTGGTGGATCGAAAGCTTGCTGAGTTTCGCTATGAGATCGTCCTCAGGGTCTGGGACAAATCCATTAAACTTTTCTTGCGAGAAATAGTCACGAACTTCATCAGAGGAACCGTCGTCGCTTGGAGGAGGAGTGCTACGGTCGCTCGAGGAAGGAGAAGCAGTTGTCCCAGCTTCAGGTACAATGGAGACGCCTCCCTCTGTTCAATGTGAGCACATCGCTATTGCTTGTTTATGTACGCTACTCACTAGCGCGGCTTCCGCGAACCATCTGGCAGGGTCAGTAGTGCGCGCAACTGCGGCAGTCGCCAATGGTGCCCAGGTGGTTTCCGGAGTTCGCGCGACACTAACCAACAGCGACGTTGGGACTGTTGTGCACACGAAGAAAAGAAACGGCTAGAAAGTGTAAACACAATGTTTACGTGTCGCCAAGCGGCTGCTGACTCATACAAATAAGCAACTATCTTCTAGTCCCTTCCCTGTTGCACGGATCTGGTGTTGTAACCCCTGACATTGCTTCTGTTTGCAAGTGCAATTACGGCCCACGCGGATTCCTCCGGCCTCGATCACAACTTCCTTAACAACGCCCTGATGAAGCAATCTTCCTTCGCCTTCTTCAGCGGAAACACATTGCCCTGCAATGTGGTGTACGCTCGGAACTTGGAGTAGTTCTTGAATCGGATCACTTCCACGCCGATGTTACGATGGTCAATAAGGTTCATCAGATTGACCAGGACGTTTCGGCTGCCAAGCACCTACCCACGGTTAGCAGCAGACTTTGCATCGCTTACAACTCTCCTTACCTGTCTACACTGTGTTATACTGTCTGGTGGATCGCTGATGTGTACCTCACGGCATAGCCTCTGCCAGATCTCTAGCTTTGTTGTATTCGTTCCATATGCATAGCCGAATTCCTCCTCCTGGCATTCAGCCCAACGCCTCTGTTTCAGTCTGTTGCCCCAGCTGCGTTGTGCTGCTAGACGCTCGAAATTGCTCCTGATTCCGACCGTTGGATCGTGTACGAAATTGTCGAACTGCTGGAACCATGCGCCGCCCTGGTTTGGGGTGTCGGTATGAACATCATCGTCCGCGTCAGCATGGTTTGACGCCGCTGAGACCGCCTGCAAACTGGTCCACTGCTTCCTTCGAAGCTTATCACCCCAGTTGCGCTGTGAGGCGAGACGATCAAAGTTACTCCTGGTGCTGGCACTTGTGTCGTATACGAAGGGTGCAAACTTCTGGAACCATACGGCGACCTGATTTGTGTCCTGGGCAGTTGAACTGTTTGGGTTCGCAGCAGAGGCTGCGGTGTCTAAACAGGTCAGTTAGAGTGTGTAGCGTAAGATTTCGACAAACTTTACTCACGGGCGCGGCCGGTATGGTGACCGGACATGGCGGATAGTCTAGGAAGGTAAGTGAGGTTCTAGGGTGGTGGAAATAACCCAGGACTCCTTAAATCGATACGTGGGTGCATATGGGAAGCTGCAGCAAACCGAGATGAGCAGACAATCGGACCATTGAGGACGTGGAAGACCCGAGATCCCTGGCGCCACGTCGGCAACGAGCTGGAACATTCTGCCAGTATTCTCTACAGGCATAGTTGCATAGACTCCAATGATGTGGGTGGTGGCTTTGGGGTTTGAACATCGAATGAGCCTCGATCGCATTGAGTGCCTGCTGCACGGTGGAGCAACTGTGCCGCATGTATGCATGTGCATAGCAGGGAGAGAGAGTAAACAGAAGCGCCGAGTTGAAGTGAACAGTACTGATTTTTACCTAGGAAGAAAGATCCCAGAACATTATCCGGCATAGCACAATCTTCCATAGGTAGATGAGACCCTTCAGAATACCGCTTGAAGTAACAAAACTTCCGATCTCTCTTGTACGAAGTCAAGGGCAGCTCAAACCATACTAAAACTTCAGCGTAATGAGACAGGCACTCTCGCTTGGCCGCAGCGATCCATCTTGATGCCTGCGCCTTCAGAGTACTTTCTTGAGAAAGATGGGCAAGAACGTGTCTTCCTTCGCTTCGTCAAGGGGATATCTACGGTTGTTCAAGGTGTACTTCCTGAAATCCTCGAAATCTTGGAAGACCAACACGTTGGCGCCCGTCCGCTGCGAGTCGAGTAGATCGTAGATGTTGACCAAGACCTTAGCAAGTACCTGAATACATGTCAGTATCTGAGTTTCTCGACAAAGAGGAAACTAACGTACTTCCATACAGCCAGCAATCGTAGTAGGAACCGGATCAATGCTGCAAAGGCGACAAAACTTCTGCCACTTGGCTAGGTTTTCCAAGTCCCTCCCCATGTGAGCCTCCCAGTCGGCGTTGAAGATAACAGTCCTATAGCTGCGACGTTCCTCCTGAGTCCATTTCATGTGTTTGCAGAGGCGCTCGAACTCGTGGTTGAACCTCGCCGTAGGCTTTGGCACGAAACCGTGGAACTGGGACCAGACAGAAGACCTTACGGAGACAGGCTTTTGCGTCGTCGCTTGTTTTGGGCCCAACGTTTGAAGTTGACGGAGAAGGACCTGCACTGGCAAGAGTGGCTGCAATCTCGTGGATGGTGTCAGAGACGGCGCTGGCAGGAACGCTTGCGCTCTCAGCGACGACATCAGCCGCGGAGCTAGCGGAAGTGGTATTGTTCTCATAGTCAACATTGGAGGCGATACAGCAGTGAATGCTTCAATAGCTAACGATTATTAGTATTGCGTATAAAGGTATGCTGCGAACTTACCAGGACACTTCAAAGAGCGTCATTCGTTGTCGTAGTGGCAAGTGTTGGTGAGTGCGGGTTGTGTCGTAAGGTAGCAGAGGCCAAATTTGTCGCACACTATCAAGAGTGGATAAGCGACCTACCAAAAACGTACCAACAGGTTGTGTGAGCGGTGAAGGATGAGGTGAATGGTGAAAGCACGTAATTGGCATTATAGAAACGCTAAAAGCTTCCACACAAAGCATTCTATCACTCCAGAACGCGATGAAGTTTTGATATTATTCTGATTGGTTAGAGAAGAAAGGCAACCATGTGCCGATTTCATGACGGTTGATCGTCACTCCAACTAGCGGGAGGTTGCATTCCATTCCAAAATCAGAGGTATTATGAAATGCCCAGATCCAAGAAGCCACACGCATATCTGATTACCCTTGCAGATCCAGACAGATCATTGCAATTACAATTTAGACAGCAGAGCAGCCATGCAGCCTTCACCAGCCTTGGCACATTGCCTCGGAAAGGTGCCCTTCTTGCGGACGCTTTGACGAAGCTCGCGGATAGTCTTGTATGTGATGACCTTGATCTCCGGATTGCGCATGTGGTCGATAACGCTGTAAAGGTTGACTTTGAGAGGCCGAAGCGCCTATGTATTGTCAGCGGCGTACTTTTGTATGGGCTCGTAGATGATGCGCTCACGTTCTTCGCCTGGGTAACAGTCAAAGGGATCTGCTTGACGCCCATCTCCTGACATAGGAACTGGTAGTATTCAAGCTTGTCAACGTCGTCCGCGCCCCAGTAGAACTCAACCTCGCTAGTGAGCAGCTCAACTAGGTGCTGGCGTTTGATACGTCCCACCCAACCTTTGGTGCGAGCTAGACGTTCGAACTCTGACTGAAAGGATGCATCTGGGCGGTGCACGAAGTTGGTGTATTCACTCCACGCTGGGTTTTCGTCCAACTCTAGCGATGAAGCCTCTGACTCAGCATCGCTGTGTTCTGAAGCCGTGTCCGGGATCTCAACGCCCCCAGAAATTTCCTCCAGGGACTTGACCGTATCAAGAGACAGTACGCTGTTTTGTAAGTCGGTGCTATCCGAGACTTCTGGGTTCGGTGGAGGTTGTGGGCTGGTGGAAAGACCTTCGGCTTCGTGTGACTGGTCGCTGTTGATCGACCTCACACTTTCGAAAGAATTCGCCGACGTACGTGAGATGACCGAGAAAGACGACGTATCGGAACCAATAGAGAGACTTCGCATGCGGTCTGTGAGATCGATCCCACCAGTTTGAGCAGTCACTTTCTTGACTGCAGTGCTATCGGTTGTTGTTGACTTGTCTGATGCCATGCATTAGTAATGGTTTGCTGGACACCGCCTTTCCGACTTCCTCGCATCATCAAGGAAGCATCATCAAACATGCATTATGCGGAGCGAGCTGAACTTACGACGAACTCCCCATGTATATGTCTCATCGAAACACGCTTCCCAGTGATGACACCATTCGGAATCTCCGCCGGTCCATCCCTTTACCTTTGCCAGGCGCGCGAACTCGGCCTTGGGTGAATTGTTGTCATCAACGACATGATTGGTGTCCTTGGCCCATTCTTTTAGAAGCAGTTTCTGGGCTTCGGCGGTCATTTTGACAGAAGCAGAAGATAGCGCGCTGATACAGCTACCGTCCGCTCCTATCGCAATGGTCTTGAAGTGTCCACGGGTTGTTGGCGGAATGGTGGGGTTGGGCTTAAAAGTGAGTAAGAGACAACAGCGGGAAGGGGTGCGAAGCACTCGTCAAGTAGTTGGGGGAGGCAGCTGTGTGGGTAATGGAGGGGCTGCAGCGGACTCTCCCAGGGTTTCGCATACGCGCTCACACGTGGTTGCGAAGCTTGAGATCCGCATTCGGTTAGCGTTTGATGCCGGATTTCGGCCTATTCGCGCCAAGCAGGGCGTTTGCAAGGCACACTCATCATTGCATTCCAGTGAATGCTTTGACAGATCGCACAATACTAAAGACACATTGATATGGTAATTGCTCCTGCTGTAACATCATTGGTTACTAAGATGCCGAGCCCATCCAAGATGTCCGCCAGTGCTTACATGCCGAGATACATCCGAGCCACATCGCCTACATGCGTGTTCTGCCGCGCAATGCAGCGAACTTCCCAAGACGCGACTTCGAGCCTCAAATTGACTTCTTCATCGCCCGCTTATCATTTCGTATGCGCTCCTTCTCGTCCACTGTCGCGTTCTCCCCATCTCATTTTAGACGCTCGTCTGACAGGTGGCATCAGATACCTCTTGAGCCTTGCGTCGATTTGTAGCTGCTCGAGTCCGTCCGCGACTGTCGACAAGCGCAGCAGACTTCTCGGTGACAACTCTGGTAGCTGGAAGCTCGTAGGAATCGTCGCTGTCATTCGCGCTGCCGTCCGCACTGTCGTACACGGAACCCTCTAATTCTTCATCTGCTGTATCTTCCGCTTCCTCATCATCATCTTTCCCTTCAACCTCGATTTGTTTCTTGACCTCGCCAACCTTTTCAAACTCCTCGTAGGCTTCAAAGTCTGAATCGACACAATCCTTAGCTAGAGCCTTCATTGCTGCCTCTTTGCGAGCGCGGTCGAGTGTGATCTTGAGTGGTTTAATGGGAAAGCCCTTCGGTTGGCGCAGCTGGAGATCATTTCTACGGAGGCGAGCCTTGGGAGTACCGAGGTCCCAATCCGTCTTTAGGAGGATGGGCATTACGAGAGTGCTATTGATATTCTTAGCTTGGTCTGTCTGGTATCTTGTGAACACACGCTTACCCATTCGGCGCGGGTCCATCGGAGGGTACGGCAGGGTCTGAGAGCGCTGCGCCTGAGTCGATACGAGGCTCTTCATACGCCTTCTTTGGTGCTACTTTGACACGAGCCATGTTGAAAGATGCCGAGATGTTTAGGTAAAGTGGGAAGCTGATGTGCTGACGTGCGTTGCTGGGTATTGTCGCAACAGTGGAGTAGGAGCACAGAAGGGAACGAAAGGTAGAGCAGCCTAGCGAGCGGATACACAATTAATTTCACGTCACGCTAGCTGAGCTAAGACGTCCTAGATTGAGCGTTGTAGTCAAAGTGAAAGTGAACGTGGAAGTTGGCGCAGCCGTTTGGTACCAAAGTCATATTGAGCAGACTCGGGATAAGGAAACGAGGGTGACGCACGGTGCGACAATGCGGAGAATTTACCCAAGTAATGGAAACGGGAAGTGCATATGGTCAGTCTTTAAAATATTTGTTGAGTCCGTGGTGAGTTGGGAACGTGGCGCCCGTTACATGCACGACGCGGTGGTCGGGGAAAGCACCCTCAAACTGGGCTCTTAGCAAGAACAATTTCCACATCTTGCTGCGCGGACTGCGCTACTTTTCATGACATGAACGTATCCCCTATCGTCCTGGATGTGTCCGGTCGATCGCTGAAGTCGGGTTGAAGGGAAAACCGGTGGCCACATCCTCTGGTAGCGTTGACGAGTGATATAGCCGAGAAGAACCTAAGAATATCATCTGATCTATATTAGCTCAACGATCCTGAGTAGAAATGTATAGTTCACCATGGGTGCTCTGCACAATGACTAGTGACACTCCACATGGCTCTCGACCCCATGTGAAGCTCATCGGCCTTGCTGTTCCTCATGGGGCAAGGTAGTACCTCCATCTGCAAAACGTCATCGGACGTGTGATTTCAATAAGAGCAAGAGGATATGAATGGACTTTACTCGAGAATGCAGTTGCGCAGATGTGCAGCGCAAGCGCGTTGAGGCGCAACGCGTGAGACACGCGGATCATTTCCTCATTCGACATGGCTCCACTCGGCGCGGCGAATGAAGCAGCCATCACGCCGGCAATGGAGAATACACGATACAGTGTGTGATGTGCAACGAGATCCACGTTCTTAACGTAATTACCATAATTGTTCAGCAGTACCTAGTTTGAAGCTGATGGCTCCATGAACTCTAGACTGAGGGGCCATAACAAGACCATGCGTAACCACCAGGACCAGATATCGATGTTTTAGCTCTGCATATACTAATACCTCCCACCCTCCAAACGTTATCCATACCTAGCTATCTACCCTTACCCCTCGCCAGGTTTTCAGGAACGGATCACGGTACGGATACTGCTTCCACTCACGTTGCGCGAGTGTGAAGGCGTTCTGAGCGAACTTGTGGCCTGGTCTTGCTGCCTCGTAGCTGCGAGGCTACGCGTGCGAGCTGGGATCAAATACGTGGAAGCGATGTCTGGGACTGGTGATGTCATCGGTGTCGATGCCATAGTTCCGCCGATACCTGTTCGAGATGTTGGCCAAGCTGTGCTGAACGGCGCATTGCGGGTGATGGAACAGCTCATTGGCATAGTGGCAGCGAATGGGGTTTTCAGAGCTGACTTGCGTGGTGGACCCACAGATGGGACGACAGGCATGCTTGACGATGAAGCAGTGCTGTGTCGTCGTTCAGATTGAAGCGAGGGCTGCGTAGCATCGTTGTGTGAAGAGGCTGTTTGAGGATCTGGCGAGAAAAGAGCTGGCGAAGTTCGCTCGGCGAATACATTCGCTGACAATATTTGCGCAATGTGCGCGCTGGATGTCAAGCGTCTGCGATTCACTGGTGCCTTCAAGTAGCATCCTTCTATACCTTCCACTCGTTCCGTAATTAGTTATTAAGGTAGCGGTACAAAGTGCCTCTTATCTTAACATATATAGTGCAAAATACGTGTTCTATTCTACGCGCTTTTCTACTATTAATACTAAGATAGTAGTATAGTTTTAATAGTAAGTACTACGTAACGTTTATAAGAGTACCTAAGTAACTACTAATAAAAGTTATAATAATATTTAGCTAAGAATTTATTAGTAAACTAACAATTCTACAGTAAGCTAGTTTAA